TTCATTTGCATTCTGGGCCTCAACATGAAACGATGCATTGCCACTTGGTAACTTTCCCATACGTCGCGCGCACAACAGGTGACCCACGGACGGGTGGGTCACCAGAAAAATGGTTGAGAAAAACAAGCTGTTCCACTTGCACAGAGCCCCCAAGAGCACCCCCAGGAAACCTCCCCAAACCCCCCCAGAGCCCTGAGGCCCCCCAGAGGCCCCCTGGAGGCTCCCCAGAGGCAGCCTAGAAGCTCCTCAAGGGCGCCCCAAAAATTCCCAGAGGCTCCGCAGAGGCTCCCCACGACCCCTCTCTGAATCCTGTCAGGAACTATGGGCTTCTCCGAAGATCTCCATGTCTCTGTCGGGTTCCTGTGGATTCCTGGGAAACGCAGGGGGGTATGCCTCCAATTTAGGGGTACGGCCGCAATTTGAAATGATTACTATTCTGGGTGCCTGCGACGGAGCCTGGAGGGGTGGAGGGTCGGAATTTAACTTGAACGAGACTCCCCAGAAGATCAGCGAAACAAAGTAGAACGAACCCGGGTCAAGTGACGCGAGCACCACGCCAAAAAAAAGTCCTGAGACTTCAGCGACGCGAATCAGCGTGTCTGTTTCGTTTTGAGAATCCCAAATCGCGCTAAAACGCAATTCCTGGGACGTCAACACACCGAAGTAGCGAGACTCTTGCGTCCTGGCATTCCTTAATCGTGCCGGAAGACCATTCCTTGAACTCCGGCCGTGCAAACCCTTAAAACTGCTGTGAACTCGCGAAAACGAAAACCACACTTTGAAAACGGCCCGTCCTCCATCCGTGAAGCTGTTGCGAACTTTCAAAACGAATGTGCGCAGCACGGAGGCGAGAACCACACTTTGAACAATACGCGTCCTCCATCACTGAAGCTGTTGAAGGATTTGTGCAGCAAGTGTGCGCGGCGCTAAGGCGATAATCACATTTTGAAAACGGTCAGCCCTTCATCCGCAAAGCTGCTGCAACTTTTCAAAACGAATGCGCGCGGCGCCAAAGGGAGAGCCACATTTTGAAAACGGTCCGCCGTCGCGCTTCTGGCTCATAAACGGTGAGAAAATACCAAGTGAAACTCCCAGCCCGCCTAAGGTTCGACAGAGAGGAGTTGTTCGCAAGGAAAGAGCATGGGAAAGGAGGAGGGGGAGGACGAGGATGAGGAGGAAACAAGCGCAGGAGGAGGGCGCGGATCACACCAAGGCCTGCTGTAGGGGCTGCAGGAAGATGCCCAAGCTGTTCCGCACGTCGATGAGGAGGAGGACCAGTGCCAACCCAAAACGCATCAACGATGTTGCAATGAACCCTTCCTCCAAGTTCCTTCATAGGTTCCCCACAAAAATTGTTTTTCTTTGTGGGACGTGCCCCGTTGGAAGACAACCGTGCGAGAATCCCCAACCGTGCCAAAGCGCCAGTCCTGGGACTTCAGCGACGCAAATTAATTTGACTGTTGCGTCCTGACAATTCGAAGTCCCAAACAGTAGCAAAACACAATTCCTGGGACCTCAGCCGTACGAATTCTTGAAATTGCTGCAGAATCTCAAAACAAATGTGCGCGGCGCCAGGGTAAGAATCACATTTCGAAAACTATCCGCCCTCCATCCATGAAGCTGCCGTTCACGTTCAAAACCAATGGGCGCGGCGCCAAGGCGTGAGCCACATTTTGAAAGCCAACCGCCCTCCATTCTTGCATCTGTTGCAAACTTTCTAGACGAGTGTACGCGGCACTTGAGCGAACACCACATTTTGAAAACGACCTGCCCTCCATCCGTGAAGCTGTTGCAAATTTCATTTATCAGAACTATAATCGGCGAGGAAGGTTGAAGCGGAACTCCCGGTCCGCTCTACCGACACGTCTGGAGGTGTGACAGGGATGAAGTATTTGAATGGAACAGGAATTGAGGAGGAGGGAGGAGGAAGATAGGAAGAGGAGGAGGAGGAGGAGGAGGAGCAGGTAGGTACAGTATAACTGGTACGGCACAAACATACGTTAAGACATCTAGCTATAAGAAACAGGAAGCCACATGTTCGGTCGACCTTCGCCCTCGCATGGTGATTCATAACTCAGACGGGTGTCTGGGGCCGTCGGGTAGTCCCATCAGCCCTCTGAGAGGAGGTGGTTTCCAGCGTTCCCTCGTCCATGTTCCCCTTCCTCCCTTTCGGGGAGGGGTTTGCCCCTCCTCCTCCTCCTCCTCCTCCTCCTCCTACTCCCCCTGGATCTGGACGGGAGTGGGGGCGGCGGGCTGTCAGAGCATCCAAGGTGGCCCAAGGTGGCTCCAGGAGCCCGAGATGACCACTAAGATGGCTCAACATGTCTTCCAATATGCTCCGAGAGGCCTCAAGACAGTCCCAAGACGGGGTCCTAGTGGTCACGAGGCCTCCCAAGGAAGACACCAGGAGGCCAACATCCTTCAACAGTCTTAGATGTTTTATTGCCCTCTCGCCTTTTCGCTTTCGAAGGCCCTCCGAATCCTCAAGATGGCTACAAGAAGGCCCAAGAGCGCCCCAAGAGGAGCCCAAGAGGGTTCTAAAACGGCCCCAAAAGCGCCAAAGGGCGCTCCAAGAGGCCCTAAGAGGGTCCCGAGAGGCGAGTTTTGGGGTCCTGGAGGGGCGAGGCCAGTTGAGTACCCACTGTCCCTTCTTGGATCAAGCTCCTCCAGAATGGCCCCGAGATGACCCTGAGGCTCCCAAGAGGCTCTGAAGAGACCCCCCTCGAGGCCTCAAGTGTCCCTCCCTCGAGGCGCACAAGACGCTCCAAGAGGCCCCCAGGGACCGCCAAGATGCCCCCAGGACGCCCCAAGAGGATCCCAATAAGCTCCCAGGGCACATCCGAAGAGACTCCGAGGGGCATCCAAGAGGCCTCTGGCCATTGTGCTCGCCCTCGTTCTCGTCCTCGTCCTTGTCGTCGTCCTCCTCCTCCTCCTCCTCCTCCTCCTGCTCCTCCTCTTCCTCATCCGCCTATTCCTCCTCCTTCCTCCTCACTCCTCCCCCTCCCCGTCCCCCTCCTCCTCCTCCTCCTCCTTCTCCTCCTCCTCCTCCTCCTCCTCCTCCAATTCCTCCTCAATCCTCCCCCCCTTGCGGTATGACGGCTCCCCCGGCCCTTTACTCCAATGCATGCTCCTGCGCGTCCCTGACCCGTGCAACACAGGGCATCGTTTCTGAATGGGCTGGTGGGACTACGCGACGCGTTTATAAGAAGTAACTTCCGTGGGGCACGTGCTGAAAGGCAGATTTCTTTTTTTGTGTACCCATTGTGAGATGAAGGTGAGCAGGATGAGGAGGAGGGGGATTTTTCGAGGGCCCGGAGGCAGAACGTAACATGACCAAGCTTAAAAGGGGCGCCGCGCGCAGCCCAGTGCACGGTACGCGCTACAAAACGCCGCTGATTTGAGGCGACCCCTTGAGCTGGGGAGGAGGAGGAGGAGGACCTTTTCGGTTCTAGGAGGAGGAGGAGGAGACGGAAGATGAGATGGAAGAGGAGGAAGAGGAGGAGGAGGAGGCGGAGGAGGAGGAGGAGGAGGAGGATCGAAGACTGAGGCTAGTTTACGTTTTTGGGCCTCTGGGGTCCTGCGAAGGCCCCGGGAGGCTCACGAGGAACTCCTCGGGCCCCAACGAGAAAACGCCAGCTGTCAGGACTCGGGCCGGGGGTGATCTTCTGCGCGCCTGGGGCAGGGCAAGACGAGCTCGCCGCACGCCCCAGCGTAAAGGCCTGTGCCCAAATCTCGGACTTTTGTTGTTGTTGTTGTTGTTGTTGTTGTTGTTGTTGTTGTGTTGTGTTGTTGTATTGTTGTTGTTGTGGTTGTTTTGTTCTGTTGTTGTGGTTGTTGATGTTGTTTGTTTTGTCTTGTCTTGTCTTGTTTTATTTTGTTTTGTTTTGTGTGTATGTCTGTGCGTTTTTGTTAAACCCCGGCCTTTTCCCATGTTATGGTCTATCTGGGGCACTTTCGGGCACCGGGGGCGACCAGCACAGGCTGCCCCAGGACAAAGACCTGTCCCCAGGTCGGGGATCTTCTGACCCGGGTCAATCCAGACCCGGGTCAGCAGGAAACCAAAAACTGCAACGCAGGAAAAAAAACTGCAACGCAGGTCTTCGCAAACCCGGGTCAGCCAATAGGCGCGGTCGCCTCGCGGCTCGCTAACCCGGGTCAGCCAGAGGGGGTCTTCGCAGGATCCTGCAGGATCCGGTGCCGTGGCTGACCCCCGTCTGCATTGACCCCCGTGGCTCCCGACCAGGGAGTGGGTCGAGGCCTCCGGGTGCTCACGGGTGGGAGCACCCACCCGCCGCAGTCAGGCTTCGGCGGGCGGCTGCTCCCCGTGGCCCCGCACGTACACGTCGTTCGCTTCTGATCGTGCTCATTTCTAATAGTGCTCGTTTCTAATTGTTCCTGGCCCCCTAGTGGCCAGAAAGAGGCCTGGGATAGGAAAATCAGAAAGGAAAGGACTCGGCACCCCCCAAAAATTGAAGAACTCTCGAAGAGTTAGGAATGAACCATGTGTAGCAGACAAGCCGAATCCATCCACTCTCTGACTCTGGAGAACTGCCCGCTCTCCCTTCCGAACCGGGGCCAGCGACCCCTCGGCTCAGCCCCCACTCGCTCGATGCCGCCGTCGGTGGGCCAGCTCATGGCCTTCCTTTGTGCAGGCTGGCCTCAAGTCGTGTCTGTCCTACTACAGGGGGATTTTGGACGAAAAATATAAAAATTGTCAAAAATACCCCAAATGGTCGAACGACAATGAAAAACTCAATCCCCGACTATTTTTTGACTATTTTTGAATCTTCCTCCTGTAGAGGGACAGGCCCGACTTAAGGCTGGCAGAAACACGCGACCACACATACACACACAGCAAACGCCGCAGCCACTGGCGTCCAGTACTGCCACCCGAACACCATGAAACCTAGTCTGTGACTCAAACTAGGATGCTCTCACTGCACGTTCCTGCAATGAAGCACCCAAGACGACACTCACAATCGGAAGGTGAGCGATTGCAGTCCTGTAGGCATCGTCGGAGAGGCCGAACTTCTTCTTCAGCGCCTTCTCGACAATCTCCTTTGAAGGGAAACCAAGGGAAGCTGAGGCCAACCCAGCGGTTGGGCGGGTGCGATCAAAGAGCGGAAGCACGACGGGTTGTTCAATAAGCACCCTTCCACTCCTCCCGGGCCGACAACCCATTCCGACCCAACGCAGCCTTTCTGCGAACTCACTCGCCCCCTCCAACCTTCCCCCATCCCCCGCAGACTCCACCAATGCTTCTTCAACTACTTGAAGGATGCAGGTTCGTGCCTCGATCACGTGGGCCATGGCAAGGAGGAGGATGATGAGGAGGAGGAGGACCTGGAGGAGGAGGAGGAAGAGGAGGAGGAGGAGGAGGAGGAAGAGGAGGAGGAGGAGGAGGAGGATAATGATGATGATGATGATAGGAGGAGGAGGACCTAGGGGAGGAGGAAGGAGGAGGAGGAGAGGAGGAGGAAGATGAGGAGGAGGAAGATGATGATGATGAGGAGGAGGACCTGGAGGAGGAGGAGGAGGAGGAGGAGGAGTAGGAGGAGGAGGAGGAGGAGGAGGAGCAGGAGCCTGTACCTTGAAGCCGACCTCGGCCCTTGGAGGCCCCCCGAGGACGCCGGCCCCGTCTGTCGCGCGGACTTCACGCCGTTGGTCGCTTTCCTAAGGGGGCCCGCTCCTCCTGCTCCTCCTCCTCCTCCTCCTCCTTCTCTCCGTAGCCATTTTGGCTCAAGTTGCCATTTTCTCAAGGCAGCTGGCCAGGTCAGCAATTTCCCAGACCGGCCTCCCAGGAGGCCAATCAGTTTCTTTCGCGCTCGCACAAATAGCAGCCATGTCGTCCCGCTCTCCATGGGTATTTAATCCTTGGGTTCAAAAGCCGCAGCAGGACAATACATACATCGTGTGCCCCCTGAAGCGTCCAAGTTGTTGGATATGGAACGTCCGGCTTTCTTCTCAACCTACATGCGAGTGCGGGCTCCCGTGGGAGAGCCCAGAAGGTCACCTCGCGCCGCCAACTCCTCCAAGGGCAGTCCCGCTCTCTCCCCATGCAAGTGAAGAAGAATCTATTGGAGTAGAATCTCCACGTCTGGAGCGGAAGATGCCGCATAGGAAGAAGTCGCCTTCCCGCAACTATCCACAATCAGACAGTCGTCACTCCCCGAAGTATGAGTCCGATTCTGAAGATTCAATATCCAAGCAGTCAGAACCCAAGGCAAAGTCTAGTCGCAGAAAGAGCAAACCGTCCCCCAGTCGGCACCGTTCGCGCGCGAAGCAGGTTAAGGACATCACCATTCGTAGGCCTAGGAAGGCTCACAAAAAAACGCAATAAGGCCGAGAAATCGAAGAAGTCAAAGAGGAGATGGCTAGGAGGCCGTGAGATCCCATAATGCCCGTGCTCCAATCGGAGCGCAAGCGCAAGGACTCTAGCTCAGAGCCCAAAGCCCATCCATAGGTAACCAGCGAAGGCGATCGTTCGGTATCCAGAATGGAAGAACTCAATCAGAATTTGCAAGAGGCACGCATCAAATCGTTGGCAGAACAGCTCGGCAATGCTAGGGACGAGATCAAGAGGCTCAAATAGACCAGGGGCTTGGAAGATCCAGCCCAGAACAGCAAGTCGGCAGAGACAACAACATGAGGGAAGAGTCCCTCGAGTCAATGCCTAGCATTGCAAGTAGTGAGCACGTTTGGGGAAATGACCCCAGGCTACGAAGCACATCAGCTTGGCTAGAAGGCCATCTGGCGTGAGCTATCAATGGTTACGGCATGTCCTTCTCAATGCGGTCGTATCTGCACTGTTGATGTGGATTTTGCCATGTCTAATATCACTTCTAAGCCACCTTGTTGGCAGCACTGAAACAATTCGCTAGCATGCGATCGAATCAGGCACACTTAGCCAAGCATGGCTACCCTCAACTTACCCTCATCATCGTGACGGCCGCAGGCGCTAGAACGCGCAGCGGATAGCCATAATTCTCACATGTTAGCCAGACCACTCGCTTTGTGCAAGCACTAGGATGTGCAGTTGCAAGTCATTTCAGGGACCATTCATATTTCTGATTCCGGGAGGGGCGTCTGGCGGGGGTGTCGGGGACAGCTGATTGTTTTCCAAGCAAGAGGGTGTTGGACACTGCCAGCTCAGTCTGAAATTCAAAGGGCGTGTCGCGAAACGTCGTGCACACGCAGGTCAGGCCACAACCTTCGAACTGAATTGCACTCCCCATCGGTTAAAGGGTGGGGCAGAGGGAGCCAGAAAGGACTACAGAGCAGAAACACACCCTCACGACGCTCAACCCTCAGAGAAATCAACCACCAGCAAGCAGTTATATGATTCCAGGAGGGGCGTCTGGCGGGGGTGTCGGAGACAGCTGATTGTTTTCCAAGCAAGCGGGTGTTGGACACTGCCAGCTCAGTCTGCAATTCAAAATGCGTGTCGCGAAACGTCGTGCACACGCAGGTCCGACCACAATATTCGAAGTGAATTGCACTCCCATGGCAAGACCCACGGCAGGGATGTGGACGGGTGGTGGCGGGGACAGGGCGGCAAACATAACGAAGGGAGCGAGAGTGGCACATCAAAGCCGCATCGGGCGGACAGACCCACAGGAATGGCCTTTCAAGTTACAGTGGGCCCATTCACAATGCTGGCGGCTAGCTGGCTGCAACCGATTGAGAGCTTGTTGAATCTTGCCTGGCTTAGCATAACGACGAACCGTATCAAGACACTTTACTCTGACACGCGACTGAATCTCACTCAAGGTGCGGCGCCTCTTCAGGATCTCATCCGAGGCGCCGCCGTGGCGCAACTGGTACAAGGGCGCCTCGACGCCCAGCTTGACGGCGGCAGCCTTGAAGAGGCGGGCGACCCTCGCGGCCTCCAACGGGAAGAGCTCACGGTCGTCCGCCGCGTGCGTAGCCCAGGGCCCCAGCACCTCGCCCAGCCACTCGGGGTGGTCGAAGATGACGGTGTCGTCGAAGGTCTGGGTTTTTGACGGCTGCAGTCGTTCCTCAGGCGCCACAATCAGAGACCAACGCCGCAACGCAGCTTCCTCCGACACCCCTGGCTTCACCAGATCGCCCACCTTCGCACGAAGAAGCTCCCCAGGACGGAAGGACCCCGAAAACGCGGCCTCGACGTAGAGGGCCGTGGGCCGCTCACCGTCGTAGACCAGAAGGGCGCAGATGTCCGACTTCACCTCGATCGGCAGCGGCATCCTGCTGGTAGGTGGGAGTCGCTTTCGGTATCCCTTGAGAGCCCGTTGGGGCCGAGGATAGTCCCGTACCTTTTCCAGGAAGCGTGCTGTACAGCAGGCCGTGCACCGTCTTCTCGGCGTGCGTGGGCTTCGCGCTGTCGGCTAGGAGCTCGTCGAGGTAGTCCAGCAGGTTCGCCTCGATCTCGTCGTGGTTGTCGGAGGCCCTGCCTCAGCGCCGCTGCCACTCGAGGAACAGTCTCTCGAAGTGCTGGTAGGCGGCCGAGCCGTTGGTGCCGGCCGTCGCGAGCTCGCAGGCGCTGAGCTCCCCGTCTTGCGCCCGCCGCCCAAGACTCGGGGGCAGCGGCCGCGCGGCAGGAGAGGGGGCCGCGGCGGGCCTCTGCCTGGTGGCGCCCTGCCGTCGGACGGGGGCGCTGGTGGGGCGGCCCGCGCGCTTTCCCTACTGACGGGTTCCAGCGGTTCCGAAGGAAGTCGATGGCTCGGCGGCTGCTTGGCAGGCCGCCAAGCTCAGCTCCCGCCGCAGGCGCTTCATGCAGCGCCGCCCGCGCCCCCCTGAGCTTCCCGAAGAGGCGGGGCGGCTCGTCGGCGGGGTTGTATTCGCTCGGGATCCAGCGGAGCGCCGCCCACGCGCCCGTCGCAATCGAGAAGGCGGCCAGGCGGCGGACCAACTGCAGGAGCCCGAAGGACGCCGCGCGCCCTCTTGAGAAACAAAGGGCTACGCCGAAGTTGTCGACAAGGGCGAGGTGCCTCTTGTGGTGCTGGCTGGGGTCCCGAAGTTTGAGACTCATGCCCTTGATGCCGGCCCTACCTTCTTTGTTTCCGATCGGCTCCTCAAGCCTGTACCTCCCAGCCCTCCAGCACTTCCAGGAACGTCCCAGGATCGTGGCCTTCGGAACCTCGGGGAAGCCAGGGCGAACTCCGAGGGGGCCCCACCGAGCTCGTCGAGGTCCCAGGGGCCCACGTCGGACGTCGCAGGGTCGACGAGGGGGTCGAGCTCGGCCGCCAGCGCACGACGACGAGGCGCCCGCTCCGGCGGGGGCAGACGCTCGTGCCTCCAGCGCTCGTTCCACCTCCCGATCTCCCCCACCTCCTCTCTGTCGAAGCCAGCCTCCATCGCGCCCCACCCACTCCCCGAGGCATCTGTCGCCAGCATGGAAGTTGACCATGGACGTCCAATGCTACCTGAGAGCAGGGGGACCAGGCTGGAGCAGACCAGGAGCTCACGGCAGACGGAGTCCCACAGGGGCCTCGGGGTCAAGTAGCAGTCCCGAATGAAGACGTAGGAGGCCCGCAGGACCGACAGCGCGGGCCGCTGGTTGAGGCCCTCGACGACGTAGTGGCCCAGGAGGCGCTCCAGAACCTTGCCAGAGATGGCCCCACCTCGAGCGGCATGCCGAAGAGCTCCCCGAAGAGTCCAGGCCCGCTTGGGCCTCGCACGGACCGTCCGTCGCAGCCCATCGCAGGCGGTGCCCAGGATATCCGAAGATGTTGAGGCCCAGGAGATCTCGCGAAGCACGAAGCCCTTCCCCTCGAACACCCCGATGAGCTCACGAAGTCGCTGATCGACGCGGTCCCTGGACATCCCGAAGACAGTTAGGTTGTCGCAGTAGGGGAGGGCAGCTGGATCGTCGGACAACGGAAGGGCAGGCCACGCATTCGACATGATCAAGTCCTGGCCGAACCCAGCCTCACGGAGCAACTCGGAATGCAGAGGCTGCGCAATGTAGAAAGACCAGGTCCAACCCATCGGCAGCACGAGCAAACGCGGGGAGACCTCCCCGACATCTGGCAGAGAGAGAGCCCCCACACGTCCGAGGTCGCCCCCCCACTTTTTTGCGAGGCTAGCGCAAACGGCTTCGAAACTGAGGTACTCGCTGGGCGCAGACGGCACCCCACACTGGTAACAACAATTCTGTATATCACCCGTGGCGACGAAGACAGGCGACGCTTCGTCTGGCGCCTCGAGCCCTTGCATGTTCTCGGCCGAACTCATCTCAAGCTTGGGGGGGGTGACGGAACAGCTGGTTGACCCTGCGGCAGTCCAGGGCGAGCCTCTGGCGGCCCTGTTTCTTTTTCACGAAGAACGGTGTGATCATGCCCTTCGAGGCCCTGCAGAACCCCAAGATCCCACAACCATACAGGCTCCTGAGGAACTTGAGACGAACATCTTCATCACCCCTGATTCTGACATCCATATAGGACCCGACGGGCTCGTGGCGAAGACGGTACTCGGCCACGTCAGCATCGGCCAATATGTTGTCAAGGTCGAGGCTGCGGTCGAGCTCGGGAGAGACAAACTCAATCAAAACGACGGGCGACACCTGCCCCTCTGGCAAGGACACCTTCGTCGGGTCGTAAGGCTCGACCGCGCATGCAAGCATCTCGTAATCCGCACTCACACCATCCAACTCACGAAAAGAGGCGTGGTCCGTTTGTGTATGATCGGGCATGCCCGAAGCGATGGTGGAGAACAGATGCAGGTGAATTGCACTATGCAAAGGACTGCGGCCGCCCACGGCCTCAGTCCCCTCACACTGCGTCGGGGCCGACAGCTCCTGCGGGTCGCACCCGAAGAGCAGGTTCAGGCCGTCGACCGCCTCCTGCGCCGCCGACTGGACGGCGTTCCGGCGCTGGAGGTGCAGCCGAGCCTTCCTCCACGTAGCGGTGCCGGGACGCAGAGCCCGAGGAGCGTCAGGAAGGGGAAAGTGACCACGGCCGCACCTATCCCCCGCTGCTTCTTGCCGTCGGCGAGGCCAGGCCCCAGGACGGCGCGCGCCAACATTGCGGTCGGAGGGGGCCCCCTCAGACCTCAGGCCAACCATCATGTCAGAGACGGGGGCGGCTACTGGCGGCACCGCCCCCGCTCCCTTCTTCATCTCTTGGCGGAGGCCGAGGGGTCTGCCTTGGCCTTCGCCGCCGCGACGCCCGCAGCCCTGGCCTCCCGCGCCCCCCGCTTCTCCTTCAGAATCGCTGCCTCTCTGCTGAGCTCGGTCGCGACATGAGCCTGGAGAGAAGGCGCCATCTGGGCCCCCCCCGAGCGCTCGCTGATCCCCAGGTAGTGGTCCGACCCCATCGTAGCTCGGCGCCTCGGGGTTCTCAGCCACGGCCTCCTCATGCAAGGTGATCCGCCCCAGGAGGAGCTCGACGCCGATGAAGTTCTTCACGTTGAGCCCGTCCACCGTCGCCATGAGCTTTACGGCCCTGTGGAGGATCGCGTGCTCGTGGGCGGTCGAGCTTTGAGTCTCGACCCCGCTCTCGCGCCGCCGCTTGCTGGCCCGACCGATCAGACTGGTCGCGCCACCCCTGGCCACCGAGTCGACCCACTCGGCCCCCATGGCGGGCCCCTGCAGAGGAGAGACAGGAATGCCCTCCGCCTGCCGCGTGCAGGCCGTCATCGAGCGCACGGCGTCGACCAAGGACCGCTCCGTCGGGGCCCGCGCCAGGGCCCAGTGAGTGACGTCGGCGCCCTCCGCCAGATGCTCGAGCGTGGCGACGCCCCCCCGTCGATCACCGCGAAGGCACGGGTCCCCAGCACCGCCGCCCCTGCAGGCAGCGTGAACTCCTCGCCGATGTCGTGGCCCACGAGCGGCTCCGCGAGGACCCACGCCCCACCCGCTGGGGCGAGGCGGGGGGCCCCAGGAGCAGGGGCCGCGGCGGGCACGGGCGTCGCCACCGCTGCGGCCCCCCCCAGGCGCACGAGCCGCCTCGCCCAACAACATGGCCCTGCTCGTTAGCCTCAGGCGGCGCCGCTGCCAGATTGCTGTTGGTAAATCGCACCTGCTTGCATCCTCGCCTGCGCTTCGTTCCGCGCTGTCAGGGCTTGCGTCCGAACACCAGTGCCCCTTTCAAGTGTCTCTCGCTGCTAGGGGCTTGGGCCACGACACAGCGCTCGGCGCTCGTCGCACCGTGGCCGTGCGCAAGACTAGGTTTCGGGAGGGTAGGCACGCCACTGATAAGATCTTCCAGTTTTCCAAGACGAATCGCAGTGTCAGCAAGCTTTTCTATCCCAATGCGTTCGCCAAAGCCATGTGGGCTCCAGAGATCCAGGGTGTGGCCCCGTCGATGCTGCATGGACTCAGGAGTATGGCCAGGGCGGCCAGCAGGACACCGCAGCGTGGAGTGTGTGCTACCACTGCTAGCAGGTTGATTTTTGGATTAGGCCATGATCCCGTGCATATGTACTATCGCAAGATTATCAAATCTTGGTTTTCTAGGTTGGCTGGCAACGCGGCTCTGTTGGCCCGTCTTAGCCGTCACTGGCAAGCTTCGCTCGACGAGGTTCGTCGGGGGTGGGCCTGTGTCCGTGGGCCGATGGGAGCTTTCCAGGCTTCGATCATTGCCATCGGGTGGTCTTGCCCTTCTCCCTTCGAGCTTGTCTCTCCCGCGGGTGAGCAGTGGGCTTTGCAGGCCGAGGGCCGAGGACCCCTGGGCCCCCTTTTAAAAGCCTTCGGCGAATCGATCGACGAGCGCCAGTGGCGACAGGCCTCAGAACATCTCGACGGCAGGGGGATCGATGGTCATGTTTCGTTGTTCCACGTTTGAGAGCTGGTGGCGTCTCTTGAAAAGGAAGGCCGTCGAGATGTTGCTGCTATGGTCAGGCTCGTTGCTGCCGGTGGGTACTTGGCTGAGGAAAGACGGCACCTCGCCCAGCTTTCCCCTGACCCTATTTGTAGGCGTTGTAAGCGGGACCCAGAGTCCACAGTGCATCGTGTCTGACAATGTATGTGTAATGACAGGTCGGTCTGCTCTGATGTCGTTCAGTCACTGCATCTGAGGCATGCGGCCATCCAGGAGGCTAATGTTTTCCCGTGTTTCTGGGCGAGGGGACTGATCCCCAGAGCGTGGTTCCGTCTCCCACCC